TAGAAGAAAAATTGAAGTTCCAAGTGTTTTGTGGAAACCCCACAACATAAGACACGGTTATGTTTCCAGGGCCGCTGCTCAGGCACCTGTTCTCGCGGGGGCTTTGGTTGAGTGGTCCCTGCTCTTCCCTCACAACACACTCCATGCATCCCACAGACGGGGAGCACCAGCCACTCTCCTTCTCACACCTTTAGGTGAGCTAATTGCCCTCGGGCTTCTAATTATGTCAGAGAAATGACAGCCACACGTCCCATCCATGGCTCCCAGAGTTACCTGGGGCAGTCCATGGCTCCCAGAGCTACCTGGGGCATGTGTAGCCAACAGCCAGCAAGGCYGGGTTCCCAGGGTGTCTGGACAGGAGCACTTCACACTATTGCCACTGGGACAGGGGACAGCAAGCCCTGGGCAGGGTGACTTCATGCGGGAGTGCCACAGAGCTCAGCCCAGGCCTCCTCCTGGGCTCCCTGCCGGGACATGCATAGTGGTCACCAGCTGCTGGCTGGGGAAGCTCCTGTTTCCAGCAGCCCTGTCCCCAGGCATGAGCTGGCATGACGAGGGACAGAGGTGAGCTTGTTTCCAGAAGCAGGAACCTCCAGATTGGACACCCTCCGCTGTGCCAGGGGTCCACTGAGTTGTTGTGAAGAATGTGCGGTATCCTGGCCGCTCGGGGTGGCCATCCCGCTGTGGACCTCAGTCTTCACCACTGAAGGACAACGACATCCAGCACAGAGTCTCCAGGACCCCCAGGGCGTCCTCCTCGGGGCACCAGCTGTGCTTGGTAAGGGAGGAAGTAGCGACTGCACTGGAGCATCCAGTGGTGCCTCAGTGTCCCAGACAGAGGGGAAGCGACTGGGCCTCCTTCCTGGGGCAGGAGGAGCTGGGAGTGAGGACATTAACCCACGGGCCAGGGGGAGCCTGCCGAGCCCAGTGAACAAGTCCAGCCAGGCAGGGAACTTGGCTTCCATTGGTGGAGCTGTTTCTAACCCTATTCATGCCAGTTGTAGGTAAAATCCTAATTAGACAATGTAAGCTCATATTATGTAAAACCATGAAATATTGGTGTGAAAAAAGGTTCTTATTTCCATAAAAAAAAGAAATAAAAAACCTTGGAAAGACTGAGTCATGTTGAAGCGAGGGAAGGGAGACTGAGGATTGCCGAACAGGAGCATGCTACAGGTCCAGCCCCAGGAAGGGCCAGCACCATAGACCGGGTGCCACACTAGGCGAGGATCATGCATGAGGGGCCTGGGACAGGCCCTGAGGAGACCCATGCACACAAAATCGGGTCCATATCAAATGATTGGCAAATGTGGGTGTTTTTAATTTTAAAAGGAGATTTAAAGTGCAACTTTTTTTTTTTTTAATTCTCCCTTGTCTGGCAGGGGCAGCCTTTCCTCGCCCCAGTCTCTTCTTCTCCCTAAGACATTGAACCTCAAGAGCCACGCCAGCTGCAGGAAGGTACTCTCCCCCATCAGCTCACAAACTCTGAGGCGGAGGCTGTTGAGAGACCAGGGGCAGAACAGAGAGTTTGGACTCACAGCACGCCCACAGCCTGAGCCCAAACGCAGGGTGCCACCCACTAGAGACGTTTCCAGGCAGGGAGGACCCACAGCCTCATCGTGGAACCTGGGCAGCACAGCTGAGCAAAACGAGGTGACTTCATTCTCAAGTTTGGGAGGATTTTTAGGTTATTGTGAACGGGATCGTTTTCCTGATTTCTTAGCAGATTCATTATTGGTGTGTAGGAAAGCTACTGAGTTTCACATACTGATCTTGTACCCTGCTACTTGGTTGAATTTATCAGCTCTAGAAATCTTCTGGTAGAGTTTTGGGGTCTCTTAGATGCAGGATTATGTCTTGAGCAAACAGAGACAGTTTGACTTTTCTTCTATTTTAATTGCATTTAATGACCTCCTCTTGCCTGATCACTCTGGATGTTAGTAATACTCCTCAGTATTTATCCAAAAGAACTGAAGTCAGCACACTCCAAAATACAGCCACACCGTGCTTATAGCAGCACAATTCACATGGCCACGCTGGGAACCCAGCCGGTGGGGGGCGCCATTCACAGATGAATGACAAAGGAAAAGTGGTGTCTGTGCACAGTGGGGCTTGACCTGGCCATAAGGAAGGAGGAAATTATGGCATTTTCTGGGAACTGGAGATTATTATGCCAAGTGAAATAAGCTAGTTCCCAGAAGTTAATGGTCATCCAATGCTTTCTCTCATATCTGGAAGCTATACCAAAATAAGGAAAGAGGGGAGCAGGAATCCTGTGAAAATAGAAGGAAGGTCAGTGGAGTAGAGGGGGACGGAAGGAGGAGGAAGAGAAAGGGAGGAACTGCGGAATGAAATCCACCCAACTATGCTACGGACACACACATACACTAGGGTGGATTCCACCTGCATGTGTCTCTGTGGAGCTTGTGTCCATAACATCATCAATGAACAGAAGGAAGACCAMAGGGAGAGGAAGGGGAACGGGGAGGTGGGGGCAGGAACGACACACCCTGAAGACTGACGTGGAGCAAATCACAGCCCGCACATGTCGTCACGTCCAAACACATCCCACTGTCACGTATGGTTTAACGCACTAAGGAAGACATCTGCTAAGGAAAGTGTAGAGATACCCATGGGGTGCAGAACACCACACCCCAAAGGGCTCACCTCGGGGTGCTGCGTATTGGGACTAAAAGGCAAGGGCAGGCCTCACACACAAGGACTCCTGCCCCCACCCCGCCCCTCCGCCTCGCCTAAAGTGGGTCACAGAAACAGCACTCCCCGCTCCCAAGATGAGCCACAGAAGCCAGAAGGCCCCTCCCTGAAAGCCATCCTATCAAGGACACCCCCTTCTCTTTGGAAGATCCTCATTCCAGAGGGCTCTGCCCCCAGGCAGGGAGGACGGTGACACAGAGAGAACAGCAGGGGCCTTAGGTGACCCCGTGGCCACCAGACTACCCTGCTGTCCATCCTTCATCAACCCCAGCACAGAGCAGTTCTCCCTGAGTCCCTGGTCCTTGCTTCTCGAGGCTCCCCCGTCACACAGTGTCAATCTATCAAGCTGTTGTTTCCTCTGTCCACCCATCTTGTGATTGGACTGCTGGCCATGATGCTGAAGGTGGGCCAGGAGGAAATCACACCTTTCCCCTCCCAGACCTATGTGCTCGGGGGGCCTAAATCTGACAAGTAAGGCTGCATGTCCAGTGTGCCTTGTTGCTAGCTCCTCTGGGCACAGATACCTGGGCACACTGGTTGCTCAGACACCGCCGGAGGTGGCTGGAAGCTGCCAGCTCCTCTCTTGGCCTTTTTTCATTCGCCCTCGTGGAGGTAGCTACTGGCTCAGAGAGGAAGCAGCTGGGATGTGGGGGTGATGCTGTCCAGGACCCTGTAGGAGGGGAGCCCATCATGGGGCAGAAACAGAAAGCACCCGGGCAGCACAGGCTGCAGATGGGAGAGAGTGACACGGGTATCACGGCCAGAACAGCGTGTTCAAGAGAAGAGCTTCGCAGCGGGGGAGCTGCCCACTGGCTTCCCGGCCCCTGCCTAGCCCTGTGCGACTCCCAGAGCATCTATAACCAGGCCGACAGCAGCCCGTGGTTTCCAGGGTCCCCAGAAAGGCTTGGGGGAAGCCGAGGAAGCTGAGAAGGAGACGGGCTCTTACAAGTTGAGGAGGCTCAGCTGCAGCGGGCCAGAGCCCCTGCTGACTTCCTTTGGGACAGAGCCCCATGCAAATTACCAGGCTTTCATGGCCCTGATGTAAGATGGGGGGCTGGTGCTGAGCAGCCTGGCAGGGACCCCCAATGCCAAGGTGTTAGTCCGTAGCAAAGCTCCCGCAGAAACAAAGTCCCACCACAGTGCAAACCGTCTCCTTGGCCAGCCACACTCAGGGGAGGCTCAAAACCCATCTCCTCGCAGACCTCTGTAAGGAGCCAGCAGTCTCTCCTGGAAGATTTGCTTCAGAAAGAGACTGACCGCCTAACGGCATCACGCTCCACTGGGGAATCCATGTGGGCACTCCACTGGGGAACCGGTGTGGGTGGCCATGCCCAGCAGGCCTCCTGGCAGACCTCAGCTCACAGCAGCCACTTTAGCCACAAGATAATACGCCTCCCCAGACCCCAAAGACTCCCCGGAAACCAGGGCAGGAAACAAAAATGCCTGCCTCTGAGACCTTGGGTCCTCTCTTGTCTGTGCCACAGGGGTCTAGCATCCTGGGCCAAGGCACAAACAGCTTTCCCTGGGCCAAGTGTCTTCCCCTGGGGGCCTCCACTAACTGCCCYGGCCACTGCTGCTCCATGACAGAAGCATGTGCAGCGTTTGAAAATATTCCAGGGACGCTGTGACTGCCAGACAGTGAGCCCAGCAAGGCCTGCTCCCTGAGCTCACAGACCGAGACTGGGGTGGTGCCCATCTCCCGCTCTGTTCTGTTTCAGCCGAAGAGGACACCAGGCTGCCAGCGGCCACCTGGCACCTGAGCAGAGGCCTCTTGTTCTGTTTCTGTCTTTGCTGAGACGGAGTCCCTGTTAGGCTCCTAATTTGGCCTTTAGGGGCCTCCTGCCTCAGCGTCCTCCACGGTGCGTTTCCTATGACCAGTGCCCACTGCAGTGTCCCTTCCCAAGCTCGCCACCTGGCCTCTGAGAACCTGCCTCTGCTGCTCACTCAGGCCGACAGGAGGTTCCGCCTGCCAGCTGGGTGGCAGAGGAGCTGGGCGGAGAACCTCGTGGTGAACATCACATATGCGTAGAATTACACGTACGCAAGAAGAAAACTGTAGAGTCACTAGTACTGATATCTATATTTGACTCTAAGTTAGAATAAGAATAAAACTAATAGCTGAAAATTTTTCTCTGCTTTTCTGTAATATTTCTACCAAAAAATTGGCATTATTTTGTACTCATATTCAAGAGTTATTCAGACTTTCAAGTTTGCATGGTTGATGGGAGCTACCCAGGACTGACTACCCAAAAGGCGACCCAAGAAGTCACGTGGAAAAGACCAACCTCTTTCTGTTCTCCTGCGCAGTGCGGCTCGCGGGTATGGTGAGCCCTCCATTCGGGTGACGCCTGCCACAGGGCCTTCCCCTTGTCCTCGGAGTGGGCCCAGCTCAGGCCATCCCTCGGCCCCTCGTCTTCTGCACACAGGCTKCCCCCTGCCTCCTGGAGCTTCAGACTCTGTAGCAGTAGCCGGCAAGCCTCCAAGTCTGCCACCCATACCTTCTGGAGCAGTGGACACTCGCAGCTAGGACGGGAGAAGAGGAAAAAAAATGAGGTCAGTGCTGTCTCCTGACACATCTGGGCCTGTCAGGCTGGATGAATGTCACTTGGCATGTGGGCATATGACAAACAAGCCTCACAGAGTGATGAGGCATTTCAACCAGAGGACTCAGAGGGGCTGGCTATGTACAGCAAGCTGCTGGGACACAGGTGTCAGCCCTTCCTAGCTGCTTGTCTGCAAGGCCACCCAGAGTCCCATCTGCATCTCCAGAAGCAGCTGCCCAATCCCAAACAGACCCTGAATGTCCCTGCTCCAGCCAGCTGACTACAGTCCTCAGCTACTCAACCCCCAGGCCAGGCACTTATATCACACCCACACCCAGTCACTCACCATCCCATCACCCTCCACCACACCAACACACACACCCCATCATGGGGCCAACCAACACACAAGTGCACTCTGTTCCTGACTGCTGGACCCTATCAGCACAGGTGGAGCGCAGATGCCTGGTGTGCCTGATACACGGTGTGGACAGGAGCAGAGCAGGGCCACAGGACAATATGATGGCTTTGCACAGGGAGCAGAGCAGGGCAGGCACCGCAGCACCCTTGGCAGCCCTCAAGGAGCCGGAAAGGAGGAGTGACCATGCAGCAGGAGGGCCAGAGCCCCACAGGGCACATAGAGCCGCTCAGGAACACGGCCCAACAACGGTAGAAAGTCTTACCTCTCATGCAAAGCAAGAACCTGAGATCTTAGATAAAAAAATTCATCTTTCATCCATCCATTCAGCTTCCTGATAGATATTTTCTACAGATCTGTGTTCTATTTAATAATTCTTCCTTCTACTGTGTCTGTTCTGCTGATCCATCTACTGTGTTCTGAATTTTAGTTACTTTTCAGTGTGATTTCTTAATATATTCCAGTTCTCTTTGAAATTCTCCAATGTGTCCTGTATATTCCTTTTTTCTGCTGTGCTGGGGATCAGACCTGGGCTGTGTACGTGCCAGGTGAGCACTCTACCGCTGAGCTACAGCTCAGCCCTCTGTTTTCTTCAACATTTTAAATCATCACTATTTTAAAGCCCATGTCTCTGAAGGATGAAATCAGAAGGAAAAAGAAAGAATGAGGCAGAAGCTGTATTAGAAGATCTGTCAGCCGATTATTGACAATTGGAAAGAAACCACAAGTTCAGGAAGCACGGCTCTGCCATGCAGGAAAAAGTCCAAGGAAGAACACACGCTGCTGGTCACAGCAGAACTGGTGGCCCTCAGGGCAGAGTGCCACCCAGCAGCTCCACAAGAACCAAAATGTGGGTGACAAAGGGCAGAAGCCAGAACACAGCCAAACCACATCCTTCAAATATGGCAAGAACTAATTGCCTATCTAGGAGCATACAGTTAGTTTTAACTTTCCTCAACAGTAAAAGTAAAATAAAGACATTTTCAGATGAACAGAAACTGAGAGAATTCATCAGTACTACACTCATAACACAGGACATGATCCCGGCTAGGAAGGAGGCTGAGAGTCCAGCAGGAAAGGGCACAGGGGAGCTAAGAGGGGGACTGCCGCAGTCTGGCTGGGCACAAATCACGAGCCACTCAAGCAGGAACAAATTTTATTTCCGAACTCCATCAGCACACTCCACACACGCTAACCGGGAACCTCTCCCGAACGCCACCCACGTGGCTCCTCCAGGCACACACCACACCAACCGGAAATCCCTCCTGCGGGCCTTCCCCAACCAACACGAATCCTCCAGGAATCCCCAGGAGAACTCCAAAGCAGCGGGCAAGAGCCGCCCCATTGCCCAACAGTAAAGGTCAAATATACAATACAATCAATCCAGCATCACAGCAATTATATATAGCTTAACTCAAATCATCATCTCAATAGTTCAAACATTCCCTCTGGCAAATGCCAGGCGTCATACCTACCGGGGCTGTGGCTCTCAACAGGGGACACCCTCATTAGTGGTCCAACCCGTGTGGAATTAAGGCACATGACCACCAGCACAGAGGAGCAGGACGTGAAAGGAACAGCAATGTTCTCAGGACCTTGCACTGTCCAGGAGCAAGAAAGTCCTGGTTTATATTAAACTAAAAAGTCAAGGATTCATATTGAACTCTTTAGGGCAGTCAAAAAAACACAGGTGCTAAAGCAACACATAGCTGGCTAGCTAAAATGGGAGGAATTTTTAAGAATTAAAAATACTGAATTGACAAAGTATAGTTTTAACAAGAGCCATAAAGGAGAACTGAATAAATGTGGTACACATGGGAAACAGCAATATAGAGGCATATGCCCAAGTACATATTAAGGACAGACAGACAAGTGCCGCATTGAAGAGGCAGATTTTAACCCTCATAAAAAAATCAAAGTCCTGTTACATGTTGCTCACAGGAAGCACACATTAAATACTGGGACACAAACAGGCTATAAGTGCAGGAATGAGAACGAAAGGCCGTGGAGGCGTGTTAGAGATCCAGTGCCTGGGAAAGGATCTATTATCTCTACTGGACATGGCTAAGGGAGAAAGACTGATCACTGGCTCACAAACGTCGATTCTGGATGGATTCTGTAGGTGGAGTGTGAAAGGTAGACTAGTGAGAGTCCTAGAAGGTAACAGGATGATATTATGACTTCACACTAGGCAGAATAAAAAGATGATATAACAGTATAAAATGCACTAACTGTAAACCAATGGTAAGGTTTGTCTCATTGATAGTAAGAACTCATATTGATTAAAAAACATGGTTAAGGGGGATAAGAATAGATACTCACTGGATTAGACAAAGGGGAATGAAGGGAAGGGAGGGGAGGGAATGGGGAAGACAGTGGAATGAATCAGACAGAACCTTCCTGTGTCACCTATGAACACACAGCCAGTGAAACGCCACACCACGTACAGCCACAAGAAGGGCCAGTCACACTCCATGCATGAGTGATATGTCCGATACACTCTATGTCAAGGGAAAAAACACAGTTAAGAGAATGAGATGATAAACCATGGCACGGGAGAAATTTCGTGWTGTGCAGCAGACACCAACACACAGATCCAGAACACGAGAATCCCACAAGTCATGAGAACAGACGGAAAACCCAATAAAGCCAGGGACAAACACTGGTCACCAGGCACTTGGCAGAAGAGGGTATCTGAGTGAACATCCTGCAGCTCATGGAAAGACACTCCAACACCACTGATCGTCAGGAAAAGGCACGTTAAACCAGGGTGACGCGTGCTGCATGTCGCAGTACCAGGCGTTGGAGAAGGTGGGTCATGAGGACTCCCGGCTCCTGGGGAGTGTGTGCACGGATGACAGGCTTTTGAGATCTGAGATCTGCCGACTGGGAACATGCGTCAATCATCTGACCAGCAGCTCAACCTCCAGGTCTATCCTCCACAGCAGGTGTGTGCCACCAGTTCTCGTTATTCATGGCTGTCACACTGCGTGAAGCCAACACAGACCTGAAGTAGCAAACACGAAGCACCAAACCTCCAGGAATTCTGGGTCCTGTTCCCACAGGCCTCTGCTCCCCGCTCCATAACACCAGTACATAACCAGTTGTGCTTCTCTCCAAAGGCAGCTCATTTCATAAAGACTTTGACCCATCGACATGGAACCAACGGGACCTAATCGCAGCAGAGCAAAGCCTTCTCCACGCAGAGCTCCTCTGTGGGTGCACCACAGCCTCCTGAGCTCAGGGCACCAGCTGGCTTTTCAGCACAGAGTTTCGAGGCCATCTTAGAAACTGAGAAAGATGTGTCCCTGGGTGGAGGCCAAAAGGACGCCTATTTCCGGTCTGAGAACTGAGACAAGGCACAGCCTTCTGGCAAAGGGCGCAGTCAGGAGGCGTGAACTCCTTTTGCCAGTCTGCACTGTTCTCTGACTGGCAATGGAAACTGTGGGCATAATGATGTGGGGGGGGGGTACAAGTAAATTCCAGAAAGCAGGCAAATCACAAATACAGAGTCCACAAAAAATAAAGGTCAACTGCGTGTACGCATGATCACACCATGTCACTTGTCAAAAACCTGGGGGCTTGAAGCGCCCATAAACAGAAGGATGGATGAACAGGGGGAGCAGGCTCTGTCCAGTGGATTGTGTGGTGCAGAGATGGACAGGTGGTGCCATAGCAAGAGGCCTGAGGAAGCTCACCCACACRGCCGGGAAGACTCGGGGAGCACTGTGACTGAATCTACAGCGTCAGAAGTCAGGACAGTGGCTGCTTGGGCAGCAGGGGTCAGGACAGGAGGGCACCCGGGCCCCTGGTGTGCAGGCAGTGTCTCTCTTCTGACACAGGGCTCCCGTGAACACCTTAATTTGGTGAGAAGTCTCCAAGCAGGCGTTGGTGTGGTGTGCCCTTTCCCCCGTGGACAGGCAGGGGAAGAGAGGATGAAAGAAGCCAGGCAGCTGCTCGGTGAGGTCTGACCTCAAGGAGCTTGGGAGCCTGGCCCCTGGTCTATCAGTGTGACTGGCCCTGCAGCGGGACTTCAGCTGTCTGTGCCTTCCGCTCCAGCCCCGTCCTGCACCAAGGGCTGGAGGGGACCTTGTACTGCCATTTCAACATCTTTAACTCTCATCATTTACTTCAGTTTTCCATTTCTTCTTGTGTCCACTTTAGCACTTTATATCCTTGGTAGAAATAAACCCTTTTCCTTGTGGATTTCAAATGTATTCCTACATGTTTGGCCACAGTTTTTATTTTTAAACCTGTCTCTTAACTCTCCTGGGTTTGGGTCTCTCTCTCTCCTTCGCATTCTGTGCAGTCTATTGATCAGTCTCATCAGGTTGGTCATCTCATTAGTCATTTCAAAGAACCAATTTTTGCTTCACTAATCCTTGATATTGATTTCTGTTCTCTCTTTCATTGATGTTAGCTCTTATCTCTGTTCTCTCTTTCCACGTTTCTTTGGGTTTATTATCTCATTTATTAGTTTCTGTCAAACACTTCACTTTTTTTTTCTTTCTCTCATTTTCTCCTCTTGCTATTTCCATGTAGTAATAAATATCTTTAAAGATCTA